GGACGTAAACGTCCCGTGCCATTGGTTTGAGAGGCTACTTGGCCCCTGAGGCGAAGGTCTGACAAAGGCTAAGAAAAGGTCAAATTGTAATAGGAATTACTTGGTGAACAAATCCTAATAGTTTCGCTACACCCTGCTAGATGAGGTTTGGATCTTCTCTCGGGCCAGTTTCATTCAAGTTCCCTCTTGTTCTGTACTCCCTTAGACTTTAAAGTGAAATTCAGATTAAGCTCCTTACCGAGAAAGATGTAAAAAGGACTGACTCACAGTAAAATAATGCCAGGGATCAACTTATACAAAGCATAACCTATTGAAGTCAGTTTAGACAAGAGCTCAGTCATAGAACTGACATCAAAGAGTACGCCATGCAGGAGAAAGACAAGGAAGCTGTTAGCTACCCAGCACTGACTAATATGCGTACTTCTTTCTTTCACATTTCTCGAGCGGAATTCAGTTCGAGTACTTTCTGTGCTCTTTTAAAAAATCCGAATGATGTACTACAATCACGCACAATGAAATTCCTGCCTTATGCAAACATGATTGATCTAAGTCATCATTAATTTCCTTCACAACCAGAGATCCATAACTTCCCCCTCAGAACAATGGAGGAGAGGAAGTGTTGTGGAATGCAGCAGGTATAGGAACCGGTTGGTGGCGCATCAGCTGATGAGGGAGTGTCGTAGTCTTTGTCATTGAGAGAGCCCTTCAGGTCTAATCACTGCCAGTCAGGGGTCACCGAGGGGCTCTCTTGTTGTGGTTAGTAATCAGCTCATAACACAGGTCAACACACAGCTAATTGAGACTGCTCACACCTTTACAGACACGTCTTGTTCATTTTAACTGGAAATATTCAATAAATATGTTAATATTAAATATTAAAAATTAGGGCTGACAACAATTAGGCTACTTTGTTAAATAATATAATATATCACAATTATTGTCATTTAAAGCTCGCTAACGTCCAACTTACAAGTTTGCTGGTGTTTTCATTCATCTGTGCATTTTCCGTAATGTAGAGAAACCGCGTGCGGCATGGTTGCCAGGTTGGGCAGATTAAGTAAACCACTGGCAGAGAAGGCAATGATTAAAGAAAAAGCTTGGACTGGAGGACTTTAACTCTTGACATCTGGCAACCGCTACCAAGCCGGCATGTGAAAGCTTGTTACCAATGCAAGATAACACAAATGCCAAATTAAAAAGAAAAATGTTCATGCTAAATAACCAGCAGGCAAATATCGCATATGATTACGTTTAATAAATCGAGAGAAGCAGAAATCGTGATCACGATTAAAATACGATTCATCGTGCAGCCCTACCCAAAATGTTTAACATAAATTAAATTAAATAGCCTATAACAAATTTTAAGTATTATATTTATCATTTGTAGGGATGTGCAAAGCCAATATTGTTATACGGTATCTCTTGGGATAAATCCGGAGGTGGGTGGGGCTTAAAACGAAGTTAGTCCAAACTATATGAAAATCCTTGTATCCACCTTATTTTTCAGCGCGGAAGTAAGCCATTTTCTGTGAATGTGCGCGACTTCTGGTTCATTAGCTGCTGTAAGGAAATAACGAGAAGAATAACAGTAGTGCAGTAAACGGTAAAGCTGTTTGCACTACAAACCAGTGTGTTCATAATAAAAACGAAATACATTAAAATAAGACACACCCGTTTGCAACATCAAGCAGCAAAACAAGTTTTTTTTATAGCTAAAAATAGCTAGATCCATAAAATTTACAAATGGCCATACCCCGTCTTACGGGAAAGATAAGGTGGATTTTGAATGTAATTCTGCTCCCGTCATAATTAACATAGCAGTTCTCCTTTGTGTGATTTATAACTATTCCTTTTTATTACAACATTTCTGCAAGTATATTTTAATAAAACAGTAATACTAAATGTTAAATAAAATGAAAAAGTTCTTTAATAGAAAACAGTTGCTTAAGGTTGTTGTGGAAACTTCAAGTGCTTGGTGCTTCACAACGTGCTGTGCTCATTTTCATTCATAGAGTTTACACATTCACTTCACACACTCACTATTGAGTTTTTTTTTTATATAAAATTTTGTGGGTTTTGAAATCACCAGAGGTGTTACAATGAGATGTGTCTTGTTCTTAACACGAGTTGCTAGCATATCAGATACAGTACTTGAAGTTTTAATTTGTCATAGTTAAGATAGAGTTAGGATACAGATTGTGCGTTGTATTTGAATTTGATGACAACTAAGTAGAAAAACAGTAGCAAAACCCCTATAGTACCGACTGACAAACTTTCCACAACAGTGCAATGGAAACTCTGAATTGTAAGTGAAAAGCATGTCAGCACATGAGTCGCATCTGAGCCGTGTGTCATCAAAGAATGGTCGAGTTCAAACTAACATAAGTCAGGCATCCTCTGATGCTCAGCCAGACCAGTGCACACTGTGTCATTACAGCAAGCCACAGACCTATTTCACTTTTGGACAGTTTAAGGATGTCGTGGCCCTTAATGACAAGGTACCTGTCCCTCACTGTGAATCCTTGATCAGTATACTGCTCCTGTCTCAGCTGGGGCTTTCATGTTTGTTTACCACTTAGCAACGTGCTATGGCTTTATCTGAACCCCTCCCACAAAGCCAAAGATCTTCAGTGCCTATGACGGGTTCAAACACAAGTTCCTACTGCGAACTTTTCAAACTGTTGCGGTCCATATACAATGCCAAGTGTCGGATTGATCTCCTCATTTTAGGACCCGGAGTCCATCCACTCATGTTACACTTTGATCTTGTAATTGTTCTAATTACACTGTTTTGGCTTTTTCACCTATAACTTGCAATTGATACACCCATGATAATGCTGTAAAGGAGGGTCTGTGCTTTGAGCTAAATTAAGCTTATCTTGAATCCTGGCTGAAAATGCAAGCATCAAATGTTCTGGCTTGGATCTAGCCTCTACAGGCCTCGAAACTAGCTAAACCAGTGACAATACCTTGGTAAACATAACCAGCGGGCAAATATCACAGACGATCATGCTTAATAAACTGAGAGACGCAGAAACCGTGATCACGACTGAAATGTGACTCATCGTGCAGCATCTGAACTCAACCAACTCTGAACTGACTTGAGCTGAATAATGGCACTATTGTCTTTGAGAGCTGCTTTACGGCAGAAACTGAACTGTCCCCATGCTATTTTCTTGTTTATCTGTTTATACGATTTGTATTGTATAAAAGCACTACAGAAATAAAGGAGACTTGACTTAAACCGTCTCTGCCATTGCTAACGAGCAGGTCCATCAGCTAGACCAGCAGCAAACCACCATGAACAGGTGTGGACTAGCATGAATTCTGCTCAAAACTAGTCTTTTCATTAGAGATGTGTTGCATTCACTTATTCATTCACCACTGTATCTGTGGATTTTTTGTTAATTCCGGTGCACTGGCCAGTTTGTCAGTAATCGAGAAAACATTCATATTTTAGGTAGCAATGAAGTTTAGCACATGATAAATGCAAGAAAAAGCAGTTTCACTTCATTTTTCAGCATGCGTACTTAGAGTGGACTTGCCCCAAAAAAAGTATTAAGAGATAAAAGGCAACTACATGGACTTAATACTCTACTGCCTCAATAATCTCCTAATTTGCTGCTTATTAATAATTAGTAAGGTACACTACCCGTCAAAAGTTTTTGAACAGTAGAATTTTTAGCATCATTACTCAAGTCACATGATCCTTCAGAAGTCATTTTGACTTGCTGCTCAAAAACATTTATTATTATTATTATTATGTTGAAAATAGCTGAGTAGAATTTTTCAGGTTTCTTTGATGAATAGAAAGTTCAGAAGAGCTGCATTTATCTGAAATAGAAATTATATGTAACATTACTCTTTATATTCACTTTTGATCAATTTAAAGCATTCTTGCTAAATAAAAGTATTAATTTCTACACCCCCCCTTCTTTCTATTCATCAAAGAATCCTTAAAAATCAGCATATTAGAATGATTTCTGAAGGATTATGTGACACTGAAGACTGGAGTAATGATGCAGAAAATTCAGCTTCGCATCACAGCAATAAATTATATTTTAAAATATATTCAAATAGAAAGCAGCTATTTTAAATAGTAAAAATATTTCACAATGTTACAGCTTTTGCTGTATTTTGGATCAAATAAATGCAGGATTGGTGAGCAGAAGAGACTTCTTTAAAAACGTTTGACTGGTAGTGTAATTCTTAATTTTAGGTACAGGATCATATTAAGGATCTACAATATGGTCATTCAGAATAAGGCATTAATATGTTCTTTATAAGTACTAATAAACAGCCAATAAGCATGCTAGTTAATAGTGAGAATTGCTCATTCAAATAAAGTGTTACTGTAATTACTATAGTAAGCACATGCAGAAAAGGCGTGCAAAATGAAGTGCTGGCAAAAACTGCTCACCTCCATCATGTCTTCCTCGGCAGGTCTCTGGCGGTGGGACACCAGTACACTTCATTGGGTACTCAGCCCATCCTGTGCAGCTCAATCCCTGGTCTGGTTCCCAAACAGCTCCGCTTCTGCCGCAACTATGTGGAAATCATGCCTAGCGTGGCAGAGGGGGTGAAAATCGGCATCCAAGAGTGTCAGCATCAGTTCCGTGGCCGCAGATGGAATTGCACAACTATTAATGACAACCTGGCCATCTTTGGACCGGTGCTGGATAAAGGTAGGCCTAGAGAATCAATGGGAAATAATCGAGTCATTGTATAATTAAGGGTACATTGCATGTCCATTGATGATCATTTTTTAACAGTTTTATTCAGAAATATCCATTAAGAGAATACATATAATCTCTGAGATATATTTTGTGCACCCTGTTTTGCATTTCGCTTGAAATGGTCTCTGTCCCTTAAATTACAGTTTGCAATGTCCGCTTGTCTTGAGTTCAGAATAATAAGAAATTAAGTCGAGATTTGTATATATTAAATTTCTTTCTACAGTCTAAATACCTTAAAAATAGATTGCGTTTAAATTGAATTTTGGTAACAAAAAGCCTTTATGTATAATGCATTGTACAATCTCATGAATAATTGTAACCATGCACAGTGAATACATTATAACACTTATCAATTCATTGTTACACTATGCATTTTAAATTTGCTTATAATTATTTCGGACACCGCACATTATGAATAATTATAATGCATTATACCCTTTAATAACCCTTTAAAATGCATTATACATAATGGATTTAAGTAAAGTGTTACCGTCATTTTCTTCAATTAAGAAAATATTTACTCATGTCCACAAAAAATCTGTTAGCTGTGTTACTAACCAAAAACCCTCTGAAAATGTGACCAGCATCATGCGATGCCATTTTCTTCTGCGGCAGACATTTTAAACACATTATGGAAAATATAAATGATTTTTTTCTATATTTGATCTCCAATGACCTCTTGTCAAGGAGTATATTAATTGCCCATCAACTATGTTGGCTACATTAGTATGGTCTGCAATATTTTTATGATTTTAAAGGAAATTAATATTATAATTTGAGGTTATCAAGAAAATAAGAGACAAGCCTGCCATTGAAATTATGAGTCAAAATGGTGACATTTTTAACTATGTTACCTGTAAACCCCTACAGTTTGTCTATAACATAGTTGACAAACTCAGCAGCAGGAAAACATCTTTTTCTTTGTAATATCAAAATGACGTGTAATGATTAAGCTTGGCAACTAGCAGATAAAAGATCTCAACTGAAAGCTTGTTTTTCCTGATGTGAAATGTACCCTAAATTATGGAATGATTGAATATTTAGCCTGATTCTTACAGTGGTAAAACTCCATTACCTATGAATTTCCTAACCAAAAACCCTCTGAAAATGTGACCAGCATCATGCGATGCCATTTTCTTCTGCGGCAGACATTTTAAACACATTATGGAAAATATACATGATTTTTTTTCTATATTTGATCTCCGATGACCTCTTGTCAAGGAGTATATTAATTGCTCATCAACTATGTTGGCTACTATATTTTTATGATTTTAAAGGAAATGAATATTATAATTTGAGGTTATCAAGAAAATAACAGACAAGCCTGCCATTGAAATTATGAGTCAAAATGGTGAAATTTTTAACTATGTTACCTGTAAACCCCTACAGTTTGTCTATAACATAGTTGACAAACTCAGCAGCAGGAAAACATCTTTTTCTTTGTAATATCAAAATGACGTGTAATGATTAAGCTTGGCAACTAGCAGATAAAAGATCTCAACTGAAAGCTTGTTTTTCCTGATGTGAAATGTACCCTAAATTATGGAATGATTGAATATTTAGCCTGATTCTTACAGTGGTAAAACTCCATTACCTATGAATTTCAGTTTGTACATTTTTAAGACGGGAGAACAGGAATGTGATCTGCCTTTATCCACCCCATAATGAAAGCTACTTGAAAATCATATTTCACTCAGTGCTTCTTTGTATTCAGTGACTATGTAACATTATGACTTCTCAGTTACAACAAAAGTCCCTGTTTGCACACAGCTCTGATTACTGAGATTACTCTGTTGTTCTGTGCACATTATTTATTTGCCGCTCTCTAATCCCACTCTCAATGGGCATTAGTCAGGTGCACTGGACTATGACAGTTTGTACAGATGTAGTGATGCACGCGAGTAAAGTGGGTGGGACGGGTTTTGTTTGTTTCTGTCAAAGGGAATCCCCACATTTCTCATTGTGTTTGTCCCGGCACAGTAAAGGTAATGCATCTCACAGCAGCAACGCGCTGACATACCTAAAAGGCATTTCAGAAGTATCTCAGCGTGTGTGTAACACGCACACATTAACAGACATACTTCACCGTGCGCTCAAACGGATTACATTGCCAGCATGTGTGTTTATCTAAGGTGAAGTTATGAATGTGTTGTTTTGCTCTTTAATCAGTTGGGATTCTTGTCTAAGGCACAAGTCTGTGCATAACACAGCACAGTTTAGGGTTATGTAGATTTAACAACATGAGGTGGGCATTTTCAGCAAAAAGTCCTAATCAACTGTTGCTTAACTAGACTAAACTAGATTGCTTCATTACAGAAATGCATATTTTGCTAAGCATTATTGCTATTGCTCATATTAAACAACTGTAACTTGACAAGATACTTATAAAACTCGAAGTTAATGGCATTTGTTTGTGGGTTAATATTTTTGGTCACACTTTAGTTTTGGGACAAATTCTCGATATTAACTATTAACTTTGACTTTTGCCTCCATAAACGCTAAATAATTTACTGCTTATTAAGGTAGTTGTTAAGTTTAGGTATGGTGTACACTCTAAAAAATGCTGGGTTAAATACAACCCAGTGCTGGGTAAAATAGGGACAAACCCAGCAATTGGGTTGTTTTGACCCAGCGGCTGGGTTAAATGTTTAACCCAACCTTCTGGGTAGTAACCCATTAAGGGATCTAAAATATGCTCATGCAGAATAAAACACTAATATGTGCTAATATGTACAGCTAGTATACTAGTAATAAGCACTAGTTAATAGTGACAATTAATCCCTATACTAAATGTTACCATACATACATAACTATCATGCGATTTATTTATTTTACATAACTTCGTCAAAAACAGAGATGAATAGCCATATTTACTAAAGTAATATGTAATATATTAAAGTCATATTTAATTTTATCAAATCCAAAAATAAGACACAAAATGTTGCAGTGAACCAGTTTTTACTGATTTAAAAACAAACTGCTTCATTAAATGAATCAGCCTTTCCAATAGAGTGCTTCATCCGTGATGTCAAAACTCTTCGCCATGAGATTTTCCTATGGGTTTTTATAATGGGCTTTTTCCAATTCTTCCGTAAAATAAGGTCTGTAGTGAAAATAACGATACTAAATAATGATACTTAGACATTCTCTTGTACAACGTAAACTGCAATCACTCACAGCCCAAACATTCTTATGTAGGTCCTTATTACAAAAATATGTTTTTAAAAATAGAGTATGGGTGTGTGTAATTTACTTTGTAGAGTTATATTTACCACAGACCTTGTTTTACTCATAAATTGGAAAAACCCCAATAGAAAAGAAGAATTAGTATTCCAGGTTTTGATGTAAAAAAGGAGCATTTTAGGCCAGATTTGGGTTTGATTTTACACACTGCAAAAAGCAAAGTGACACCCCAAACTACTATATTTTGTAAAAAGTAGCTTGGAGAAATTACTCAGCATTCAAAACAGCTGAGCTGTTGTACTGAAGAATATAGATATGTTTTCAGTTTGTTTCTCCCTAGTACTGCAGTCACTAGATATTGCTCTTGTATGTCTGGTAGATGATTTAATAAGCATTTGGCTTCCTGTTGCTGCTTTTATGCCCTTCTCATTACAAAAAAAAGTTAGATCAATTCAAAGCTGGACCAGTTTAGTCCTCTCACAGCATCCAGGAGAAATGAGGGGTCAGGGTACGAGGAGCCAGAGCGCATCGAGGGGCCGCAGGTGGGATGAATACTGATAACCGGCTACGCCGGGAGGCGGTGTCAGCCGCGCCAATTGCTTTTAATAAACTCTCAAGCAATTGTTACATTGATGGAGAGGGCTTGAGCCCAAGCGGGCCACTGATGATGGGAGGACTGCTCAGGTCTTCTCCATTGTAGTGTTAATAGCCTCTCCATATCCCCTGCAGTTCCCCCTCCTCCGGTCTAAATTGAAGGGGAGATTGGTCAGGGACAGGGGTGATGGGGGTTTGAACCAGGTCAGTCATCGGGGTCCAGGGGTGGCTTTAGTAAACCATTTTGATTGGATTAAAGCTTCTGAAGCTCTTAATAATGTGAGAGGTCAAAGCGGGTGGATTAAGTGCTTTGTTGGGGGCGGTTTAAGGGCCGTTTCGAAGCTCAGAAGCTTTTCACAGAGCTTAGAGAAGAGCACCTCTCACTTTCGCTCCTTTGTGACTAGCGCTGTCACTTTTGCGGAGCTAGTGCTATTGTGCGCTGGTGTTAATGTCTGCGGCGCAGACGGATGTGCGTCGGTTTCCTCTTCTGTTTTGTGCTGGGCTGAATGGAGCGCTGATCTTTAATAGGTCTTCAGTGGCTTGTTACCGACAATCACACAGCTGTCTGAGATCTGCCCTGGCACTTTCAACAGACGTGGATGATGCTTCCTCAGCATTCAGAAATGTAAATTCTCCTATCCCTGTGGGGCTATCAGAAGACGTTCTGTTTGTTTAAGCATCCCGATCATCCTGAGATTGGCTCGACTAATGATGTTAACTTAGGGTCGGACCTGTTTGCTTGTCTTCTGGAAACCTGTCTGAAAACAGACATTATTTTTCAAATTCCAGACAGAAAGCACACCTTTAAAGGCCTTTACTTTGATACTTTCACTGACCATTTGACAGCTTTCATTGGTTACTTCACAAACCTATGCATGGAACATCAGTTTTGCCACCTAGCTTTGTACCTCTCATAAATCTGTGTATGTGTTGACTACAGTGTTGCATTGTTTTGCAAAGGTAAACCGCCTCTCTAGTCTCATCCTCATCTATCTATTTCACAGTGCTGCCTCGGGTTACGTCTGCATCAGTGTCATTAATTTACATTAACCAAAGTGTCAAAACACGGCCTACTGGAATCCGCGATGAAAGGAGAGTCAGCGCAGGTGTTCTAGAAGAGTTTGCTGAACACACCTTCAGCGGATAACGTTGCCAGTCGCATGCGAGCTGTAATTGGACACTAGAATTAACTTGTTCTTACTGTCACTCAAGATCTCTGTTGTTACTAAAATCAGAGCGTTAAACTGAAAAGCGGTGACTTGACAGACTTTGCGGCCTTTTACACACATTTTACTGTTTTCGTGATATTTGTTCAAAATAGCCTCTCCTGGCAATTTCCTCAGACGTTTAACAAGCAATAAAATTACATCTGGGTGTGAATAAAAGCCTTTTCATTGGAATTCCTCAGGGGCATCCACCATGTTGGCCACCACCACAAAATGAAGTAAAGGAATCCCATGACTCTCAATGCTAACACCCTCAACTAAACCAACTTTGCATGAGGTCAGGCTACCCAGGTTATGACCTCTGCCCTCAGGAGGAGAAACTGTTACAATTTAGGATGTACTGAGAGCACCATGCCTTTCATCAAATGTATGTTTAACTGTGCCGGGGGAGGTCTGCTCACCAGTATATCATTAACTCTGCCCAAGAAAGAAAGAATGGGGTGTGGCATACGGAGTTGATGGTGGGACCTTAGCCCCGCCTCCTGCTGGGCCCAACTCACCACACAATATCTGGGCGACCATAAGATTAAGCCAGAGAGAAAGCTCCTTTCACAATTCACACGCCCTTTAGATTGTTTTATGAAACCATTTCAATGGGGATTTCCCCGTCTGCCGACAAGTGGGGTCCGGCCAATGCATAGTTCTCTGTTGCTATGACTTAACTTGGTCCCCACTAATCACTGGCAAGGGCAAATTTCATATAAAATATCGGGGGGCTTTTGTTTGTGTAATTCGCCGTGACAGTGGCAGCACAATGAGGGATTCAGGGTCCCAGCAGGTAACAGGGACCACTTGCCATGTGAGGGTCCAGCAAAGTTAGCCAGAAGGTGGGCAGCAGGGGCAAACTCTTGTCACAAATAATCAGTCTAATCTGGCTTCACCTGCATTCTTTTCTCAGGTAAAGACCCCCTACCACTCTAAAGTGTCTCCGTATCTCCCATTTATCCATTTTTGATCCATTCTTCCTCTGGATATTAATCTGCCCCCACTTTCCCCCGATGCCGTCTCTCCTTTATTCCCCAGACCAGCCTGCCATGTCTTTGTCAGCCAGCCGTATTTGACCCACGTTTTATTGGCTTCCTGATCATAAAACACAGGTCACTCAGTGGGTTTTAAATTGAAATTGAATGGCCCTTTCAGACCCGACTATTCGTACCCCCAACTACTATGTGATTTAGTTGATGGAAGCAGAAGTTGCTCGTTGTTTGAGCGAGAGAAATCATAGGCATCAACTGATATAGATTTTAATATTTTTGTAGTCAAGAACAAAGAAACACTGCATCGTGGTAATTTCAATCCAAACATCCAAAGGCACCAAATCTTTTTGCCATTATAATTAGCATTGTGGAATAAGAATGAACTTGTGGCCAGTTTTGCAACATCATTATCTCTAGCCTTGATTTCTCTAACCAGTTGAAACCTGCAACAAAGGAAGACTTGATTCACAGCGTCTCCATAGCCGTTTCCTCTCTCCTGCAAGTACAAGACTGCACAAGACCACAGAGTATTTATCAAAATTACCAACCTCATTAGCTGTCTGTTGGAAAACGCTTTTAAGTTTGTATGGGGCCCCTCGTCAGCAAGAATCGTCACAAAATCCCGTTAGACAGAATATTGGATCATCTTGGAGATTATAATCAACCTAAACTTGCATTGTTCATTCTTCAAATTAATTCCGAAAGTAACGCGTTGGGTCTTGTAATCACAATTCGACAGTGAGTCTTAGCTATGAGTAATACAGGGCTATTTCCCCACCTCAGAGTTGCTTAATTAAGTCTCTAATTATAGACTTGTCAGCCTTGTATTTACCTCATCTGGAAGGATATGCTTGGTCTTCCCTGACTCATGGCATACCATGTCCACAATGAGACCTGATTGAACTGTCTTTACCTACAAATTTAACCACACGCTCATGAGTGTTGAGAAGTTTAATTAAGTACTTTTAAGGTAACAATAATATCAGGACAAAGAAAAGAACAATTAATAGACATTCTGAGGTATAACATATGTAACAATGCTTGTTTTCTCTGTGCACTTCCATAGCCACTCGAGAATCAGCATTTGTCCATGCAATTGCCTCAGCGGGGGTAGCGTTCGCTGTGACTCGGGCTTGCTCCGAGGGCTCCGTCACCATCTGCGGCTGCGACACACGAAGGAAAGGACCACCAGGCGAGGGCTGGAAGTGGGGCGGCTGCAGTGAGGATGTGGAGTTTGGCAGCATGGTATCCCGAGAGTTCGCTGATGCTCGTGAGAATCGGCCAGACGCTCGCTCAGCTATGAATCGACAGAACAACGAAGCTGGACGTGTGGTGAGCACTTTTTCCCACTGAAAAGACCAAAATATTTTTCCACTCTAGTTCAGGTTAGTTTATTCTGCTTGCTGGTGGATTCGTTTATGTTCAGAGATAGTATATGCTCAGGTTAGTCTATGCTGCTTTCTGGTGAACAAGCAAGTCTTAGTACTATTTAAAAAAGTTAGGAATGCCTGGTCAAGAAACCAATGGAGCAACATCCAAATGCAGAAGTGCTGTTAATCTTGAATTGCTTCTGTGGTAAAAAAAATAAATAAATAAAGCTTAAAGTGCCCCTGCTGTACCATTTTTAAGGTTCCTAATATTGTTTTGGTAGTCTCCTACAATAGGTTTACATGCATGCAAGGTCAAAAAACGCTTTCGTTTTCTCAAGATATGCATTTGGTTACACTTTACTTGAAGGGGTGTGCATAAGACAGAAATGACACCTTCATAATCATGACATGACACCTACATAATCATGTTACCATGCATTTAATATCACTTCATTTTCCAAAGATTCTCAAATTATTCTTTCGAAGCAGTTCTAAGATTCAGTTTCTCTAAACCCCTCCTTTCTGTGAGCCTATTCTGCTCTGATTGGTCAGATGGCCCAGTCTGTTCTGATTGGTCTACCACGTACAGCGCGTGTCGGAAACGATACGCCCATTGCCATAGTGCCATATTTCGAACGCTCTATAGAAAATATAAACATCTATTAATTACCATACTTAAAGGGTGTGATTCAGTGGAGCCAGCTGGTCCAAATAAACTGGGTACTGAGCCATCTTTCAAGAGCGAGCGTTTGTGAATTCCGCGTTGAACTCTCCCAGATTAGAGAAGCAGTTGTCAGTAAAATGACGGTGAACACAAAAAAAGATTGGGGTTGTACTGCTGTGGTAACCACTGATTCTTTGCAGCCTAATCCTTCGGAAGTGAAAATAAAGCGAATTTACTTTAACAGTGTCTTCTCGACATAAACAAGCTACAGTGTTTGAGGGCGGGTCAAGTTGTTCGCAGCCGGCCAATGTAGAACATATGCAACTATGCGATGCCATCACGGAAGTGGGATTCAAATTACTAATGACTCGTTCTTTCTTTTGGGAGACAATAAATTATTTATCATGCACTTTCGGCTTTACAACTTTGCAGATTGTTTGCATTCACATACAGCTACATTACACACTGCATGAATGGCAATATCTAAAATGGTATAATAGGGGCAATTTATTATCATCTGGAATCTTAGTGCCAAGATCAATATTCTGTTTTCCTTTTTCCCCTAGTCAATCACAGACCACATGTACCTGAAATGTAAGTGTCATGGCCTTTCGGGAAGCTGTGAGGTGAAAACTTGCTGGTGGTCGCAGCCTGACTTTCGGGTGATAGGCGACTACATGAAGGACAAGTATGACAGCGCATCAGAAATGGTGGTGGAGAAACATCGGGAATCACGAGGCTGGGTCGAGACCTTACGACCGAAGTACACCTTCTTCAAGCCCCCTACCGAAACTGACCTTGTCTACTATGAAAGTTCGCCTAACTTCTGTGAACCCAACCCAGAAACCGGCTCCTTCGGCACCCGTGATCGTATATGTAACCTGACATCACACGGTATCGATGGCTGCGACTTGCTCTGTTGCGGCCGAGGCCACAACACGCGAACTGAGAAACGCAAGGAGAAATGCCACTGCATTTTTCATTGGTGCTGCTACGTGAGTTGCCAGGAGTGTACGCGAGTTTATGATGTCCACACCTGCAAGTAAGAAACCACCAAAACCAGATTGAACCAGACATTTGGGGTTGTGAACATGCGAGAGCCTTCTGTCCGAAACTTGTGGACTGAGTTGAACTGAGTTGTTTGTGGTTTCACTAATAAGATAATCACAAAAAAGAGATACAGTGGACAGTGAGACACAAAGAAAAACCCATAAAGGTTTTATTCTCCACTGTTGAGGACAAATACAGGCCTGTGGCTCAGCTCTGGAAGGGACTTATCGTTTCCAGTCTGATACAGGAGGGGATAAGTGATGCATCAGATTACTAGAGACTCAAGCCCTTGGGACCTTGACCAATTGTATCTCCAAGAAAAGAACTGAAACCTTTCAAAGGGAGAGGTTTTGTCGGCACGTGGCTGCAAACTCAGATGGGACAACTCTGTAACAACAAATGCAGCACAAACTGAATAGCAGGGTTTGCCCACAAGCGCCTCTGAAATGTGGTGATAGTTGCATTATTAATGATATCCTTACTACTAACACCATTAAAGAAGCTATTTGTATCTTTTTAAGACAAAGTGCATTCCAACATTCCTGAATACCAGCAAACAACTGATTAACCAATTATTTTATGACATATAATACACTTTATGTTGTCTCTGTGTGCAAGACCAAACACTGAACTTACGTATTAGGTTGAGTTTATTGTAAGTTACTAACATTAGGTTACGAGTGCACTTGTATCTGAGTGAATGTCCATGCATTGTGTATATGTCACTGTTTCCTTGAAATTATTTAAGAACTCGTCGCAAGTATCAAGACCTCTTCTAGATAATGTTGTTTAGAGCGCTGTTACACTTGGTTTGATTGCTTGGTCCAAACCAGAGTTCTGTTGCTTCCCCTTTTCCCTGACCCTGCTGGGTTGTGTTCACACTGTATTTTTGGGTTCAAACCATGGTAAACTTGTGTCATCAAAGCGGCAGCTGTTCACCCTGTTGCTAGATAACAACTACGCAGGACAAGGCTGCGAAATGGACAGCCTTGCTCAGTTTTGTACTTCGTTTTTTTAACCCTTGGGCTTCTTTCCGAAGAGTCAACATGGAACGGCACTTGCGTTTGTCTGTGCGAATGTATTGCAAAGGTTCCAAAGAACATCTGCTTGCAGTGCGTCAGTCCTGCTTGTCTGGAAAGTGAGTGAGCCACTGATCTATGTTCTTTATTTTAGATCAGAGCACACACGAGCACATCATTTGACTATAATACGCCATCAAAGGTTCACTTAAGCAATTTAGGATGATTGCATTCATATCTGCAGTAAATTTAACTTGTGGGCTTGTGTTTGGTTCACAAGTATCCACCCGAGTTCAGAAAACTGTGTTCACATCATCCAAACAAGCTGAAATCTGACTTCAAACTAACCCAGTCGTGCACCAGAAGTGCTAGTGTGAAAGCACCCAGTTTTCCCCAAAGATCAATAATCTATTAAAGCTAAAACAAATAGATGCGAGCACTTCTAAATGGAGCATGATATTCATTTGCCTTATTTGTGTGTGACAGTATTATTGATATTTCACAAACAGAGAGGTCCACGGCATTTCAGAATGAATATACTGTAGGTAATTGTGCCTTTATTCAGTAGCTGAAACACTGTTCATTTTTAAGTCACTTTGGATAAAAGCATCTGCTAAATCAATAATATAAATGTACATGCAGGGTCCAAAATTAACACTCGCCAAGTGTCTCCAGTGCATGTATATAATAATTGAAAATAATTATCATTGCCACAGTATCATGACTGGTATATTTTCTCAACTCACCCATCTTTGACAGATGGTGAAAAGTATTTTTGTAATTATAATTTTTCATTTTTCATTTGGTAAAAGGTTAATTTTGGACCCTGATTATAAATTTTGTTTCTGCTTTAGTTTTAATTCACAATTGTAACACTCAAGTATTTTTCCCGTTTGCCTTTAATAGCCATTATATGTGAATTCATGACCAAAATTAATGTTTTTTTTTATATTAGTTGTAACCCAGTTGTACATGAAAGTTAGCAGCAGTACAGAAACTAAATGAACTACCCTCATTTATAATGCTGCTAACTAATAACAGGTTTGTTGTTATATTTATGCGTGATATTGTGCTTGTGCATTTGTGTTTCTCTGTGTAAATCTACTGTATGTGTCTTGGTGTTTGTATGTAAATGTGTCTGTATATGTGCATGACTCTTTGTTTTCTTCTTTCTGTGAAAGACACTGTGTAAGAATAGTTAAGAACTAAAATGTGAAGTTTTCTACTAATGGAATCTTGATAGAGTTTGTGTTCATTAACCAAATAGAGATATTCTAACACTTCTGTGAGTCCTTTTGAACAATAGATTATAAAAGATGTAATGTATGAAAATTAAAATGCATATTGTGTTATTAAAAGCCACACTATATTATGACAAAGTAGCATCGAAAAATTATATACAACCAGCTTTCTGAAGAAAATACATATGGTCCATTCACCATTATGATATTGCAGTTTTAAAAAATATTTGTAACTAGTAAACATACAGGAGATTAACTATTAGTCGGTATAATATTGCAAGGAAATGTGAGAAGGCAGAGATAAAACCCCAGCTTGTAAAATTCTTTGGCAGAAGTTCTTTTCGCAGATCTTTCCTCAAAGAAAATTAACTCAAGTTTCCTCTTGCCCATCTCACACTGATTTAATCTCTCATCAATCAGGGATCATTTCAAAGCACATGCCCTATTCAGCGTTCCACAAAGCTTTACTTAACATAATGATCCGCTCCTAACTACAAAATCAATACTTCATGTTTTTATGTGTACATCACTGCATCTAAATTTCGATTGTTTGCTTCCACACAGTTCAATTTGTATTCTAAACATGGTCTTAAATTCCAAAGCTTTGTATGGACTAGTTCTGTGTTTAAGGATTTCTGGAAGTTCTGGATTTTTTATGATTATTTATTTTACTGTAATGTATATATTAGCAAGAGTATATATTTGCTGACAAAAGATTATTACTTGTGAGGAAAATGTTGTTTTGTGTAACTGTTTTACCAGCAACCAGAATCTGTTGTTGCTTCTTTTTTCACTGACCACATAGGATGCACTGTATGTCCTGCTCTCTGTTATTAGAATTCTAGCTGTTAATGTTATAACCAAATTAAATAAAAAATACGCCTCTGTCATTGACTTTTGATTCAAAAGTGTTTTTGCTTCATGGACCCAGATCTCACATTAGACATCAAGTTACATGCCAAAGTTGTATATTTATAGGTTTAGGGGTTAGTTCAAATCGAAATATGAGCAACAGCAATAAATTATAATAATAAATATGATTTTTGCCAGTCATAAGCAAAGATATAAACAATAAAAATGTATAATTTCTCTCTTGTCTTGCAATCAGGGGTTCTCTGAAATGAGAATGTCCCCTCCTTTCATTAACGTGCAACCAATTAGTGACAGAAATCATGGTTCATGGCTGTGACTGAAACTGATGGCTATTAAAGAAAAGAAAAGAAAAGAAAAGACAAGAAATACTATGCTCTAACGCTCTGATTCAAAAGGGTATAAATCAATCTGTAATTTCATGCAGTCTTTAAAGGAATTTTACAGGATTTAAACCTAATGTTAATGTGTCATCAAGTAGGCGTATCACAGATAATAATTTTGATTCTTGTCTCTTGTGTAAAAACAAACATGATGTGTTTACAGTAAATACACTTATAAAGCAAGTTTAACTGGCAAATGGACAGCATCGCAAAAAAAAAAAAAAATTCTAATGTAAAATATGCAACTATGACTTTAACTACAGCTTTTAATTCATGTCATGACCAAGCTCTGTATTAACATGAGGATACCAGGAAGGGAAAATGAGCAACACAGTGTAACTAAATTTTTAAAATATATTCTCTATAGTCACCACCAGGGGCACTGCAAGTGAGGGAAAAAAGTAAATGCATACCACATTAATTTATACACTTCTATAGGTCAAAAGACCTCTTAAATACTAATAACGTCTTCATATATTTATCAAAGCTTATGGGCATCAGCTTATAATTCTTTTGTAGCGTATTTTATAGCATTAATATTATCTTAAATAAGCCCTTACAAAAAGAAGTGTACTTCAAGTTCATTTTATTAAAGGGATAGTTCACCCAAAAATGCTGTTATTAATTACTCACCCTCATGTCGTTCCAAACCTGTAATGGTGTGTTCACACCAGACGCGAATGTAATTATTCGCGCAAGTAGATTACATACAAAGTCAATGCAAAGACGCGAATAGAGGCGAATTCGCGCTGGGCGACGCGTTTGCCACGAATGCACGATATTCGCCTCAATCGCGTCTTCCACGCAAGTTCAAAAATTTCAACTTGAGCGGAAAATTCGCATGATGCGTTCTCGCGCAAGCCAATCAGCGAAGAGCTTCTTGACACGTTGGAAGAGAGCATTATTGTAGCCGTCTGTTATTATATAGGTCTGGAGCAAAGAAAACAATTAAAATCAGTTGTAGTGGTAGTTGTATTTTATTAGCATGGCTACAGAGATGCTGCTATCAATAATAAGAATAATAGTAATATCAATGTATATATACAGTAGTAAAAGGTAACACACACATTAATGCAGGATCCTAACGTCACTCATCCTCCTCTGGATGGTGCTGTCAACCCAGACACGTCGGCGTTTGGCTTTCCATCATATTTAGGACTTTTTGACAACAGGTACAAAACAGCAATTGTAGTTATCTCCACCATGGTTGATCGCGCTATGTTTTTATTCGCCGAGTGACACGAAAAACATCCCGCGAGTAATCTAGAGCGAGTGACGCGATGTGCATATTCGCTTCGCGACTGGTGTGAACACACCATAAGTCCTTCGTTCATCTTCGGAACACAAATTAAGATTATTTTGATGAAATCCGAGAGCTCTCTGACCCTCCATAGACAGCAAAGGTCCTTCCAGGTTCAAGGCCCAGAAAGGTAGTAGGGACATTGTTAAAATGGTCCATGTGACATCAGTGGATCAACCTTAATTTTATGAAGCTATGAGAATAATTTTGTGTGCAAAGAAAACAAAAATAACGACTTTATTCAAACAATTTCTTCTTTTCCGTGTCAGTCTTCTTCACGTTCATGAGAACATAAAGACGATGAACTAAGAGAGATGGACATTCTATGTCAGAACGCCGGCTCCTGCCTCAGCAACATTACAGCCGTTGTGGTACTCTCCTGAACTCGGGGCGAAGACTGACACGGAAGAGAAGAAATTGTTGAATTAAATCGTTATTTTTGTTGTGTTTGTGCACAAAAAGTATTATCGTAGCTTAATAAAATTAAGGATGAACTACTGATGTCACAAGGACTATTTTACAATTTACAAGGACAATTTAGACAGCATTGCTGTCTATGCAAGGACAGAAAGCTCTCGGATTTCATCAGAAATATCTTAATTTGTGTTCCGAAGATGAACGAAGGTCTTATGGGTTTGGAACGACACGATTAATGACATAATTTTAATTTTTGGGTGAACTATCCCTTTAAGTAAACTTATGTAAAGTTCATAAGATCATAAAAACGAGACTGAAAACATACTCTCTTAATTTTAGTTTTAAAAAGTATACTAATAGCACACAAATATACTAATAGCACATTTTTTGTAAGGGAGTGTTCATTTAATTTAATGTGTATCAGTCTATTGTGAAAGTGATCTGGACTAACATGTGAACGTTGAGCACACATACAGTATAATGCAGTACAAATTTCTCATTTTCTGCTTGTTGTTGGTTAAATTGCCTTTAGAGAAAAGTTTGCATTCTTCACTTGCAATGCAGGGCTCGGGTTTGTCAGCTCACCTCCCTGCTTCACTTTTCTTTGCTTTGGTTTCTGCTCTCCATGTGGCTTTCACCTGTCTTCTACCTGGTACCCTTTCATC